TTTATTATGTTGAGGTATATTCCCTCTAAATCTACACTTTTGAGAGTTTTTATCGTGAATGGATATTGCACTTTGTCAAATGCTTTGTCTACATCTATTGTGATGATCACATGTTTTTTTTTCCCTTTCTCTTGTTAAAATGATATATCTTGTTGATTGATTTGTGAATATTGAACCTTGTATCCCTAGAATTTCTCATTTGATCATGGTGCATTATTTTCTAATTATTGTTATACACTGTTTGCTAATATTTTGTTGAAGATTTTTGCATCTATGTTCACCAGAGATATTGGCCTATGGCTTTCTGTTTTTGTAATGTCTTTGTCTGCTTTGGTATCAGAGTACTGTTGGCCTTGTAGAATGAATTTGGAAGCTATCCTTCCTCTTCTGGTTTTTGGACTAGTTTGAGAAGAATTGGTCTTAACCCTTTTTTAAATATTTGGTAGAATTTATCTGTGAAGCCATCTGACCCAAGCCTTTTGTTTGTTGTTTTTTTTTTTTTTTTATTACTGATTCAATTTCATCGCTAGTAATTGGCCTGTTCAAATGTTCTACTTCTTCCTGATTCCGTTTTGGAAAGTTATATGCTTCTACCAATCTCTCCACTTCTTCTCTCCACTTCTTGTCCAATTTGTTGACATATTTATAAATAAATAAATATTTATTTATTTATTTAGAGCACAAGCAGGGGAAGGGCAGAGAGAGAGAGAGAGAGAGAGAGAGAGAGAGAGAGAGAGAGAATCCCAAGCAGGCTCTGTCAGCACAAGAGCCCGATGTGGGGCTTGATCCCATGAGATCATGAGATCATGACCTGAGCCAAAATCAAGAGTTTGACTGAGCCACCGAGGCACCCAGCATCTCATTTTTCACAATAGTCTTCTATAATCCTTTGTATTTCTATAGTATTGATTATTATTTCTCTTTTTTTATTTCTGATTTTATTTATTTGGGTCCTTTTTTTTTTCTTGATGAATCTGGCTGGTTTATCCATTTTATTGATCTGTTCAAAGAAGCAGCTCCTGGTTTCATTGATCTTTTGTATTGTGATTTTAGCCTCTATTTCATTTATCTGCTCTAATCTTTATTATTTCCTCCCTTCCATGGCTTTAAACTTTATTTTTTTTTGTTCTAGCTCCTTTAGGTATAAGTTTAGGTTTTTATTTGATTTGTGGTTACCATTAGGTTTATGCTAACACTATGTCTGTAGCAGTCTATATTCAGATGATTGTGGCTTATGTTTGAACCCATTTTAAAAGCCCCCAATTTTTACTCACTCCCCCCACATTTTATGTATAGATATATGGTTTGAAGAGGGAATAATATTTTACCATTTTTCAAATAGTTCTGGATATTCTTCTTTACTATTACACAAAAACTTGAGAAAAGATCATTCTCTTGAAAATGATAGTTTCTTAAAAGTTGTTTGCAATGTTCAATCTGAAAACACCAAAAAACTTATATTTTTTTACAGATTTGTTGAGATATAACTGACATACAATAAATCACACATATTTGAAATGTACAATTTAATGAGTTTTCACATGGATACATTCGTGTATGTATCACTAAAGTCAAGATGATAAACATTTCTATTACTCTCAAAAGTGTCCTTGTGCCTCCTTGCAGTCCACTCCTCCTTCCCATGTGCCCGAAACTGTTCCCAAGCAGTGTTTTCTGTCCCTATAGATTACTTTGCATTCTTCTGTAAGATTGCCCAACAGAAATAAAACAGGAGTTACAAATGTGAGCCACATATGTAATTATAATTTTTCCAGTAGTTTATTTCACTTAACATATCAAAATATTATCATTTTGGCATATAATAATATAAAATTATTAATAACATTATTGCCATAGGCTAAATGTTTTTGTTTCCTCCAAAAAAGTCTCACATTGAAACCTAATCCCCAATATGTCAGCTGAGGCTTTTGGGAGGTGATTGGGTCATGAGCGTGGAGCCCACATTAATGCCCTTTTTTTTTAAGTTCATTTAGTTTGAGAGTGAGAGAATGAGCAGGGGAGAAGCAGAGAGAGAGAGAGGAGGAGAGAGAGAATCCCAAGCAGGCTTCGCACTGTCAGCACAGAACCTGATATGGGGCTCAAACTCATGAACCGTGAGATCATGACCTGAACCAAAATCAAGAGTCAGATGCTCAACTGACTAAGTCCCCCAGGTGCCTCAGGATTAGTGCCCTTATAAGAAAGACCCCAGAGAGCTTCCTTGCCCCTTGTACCACGTGGGCCATAGCAAGAAGATGATCATCTATGATCATCTATGAGCCAGGATGAAGGCCTTTGCTAGACAAAAAAAATCTGCCAGCACCTCGATCCTGGACATACCAGTCTTCAGAACGGTGAGAAAAAAATTCCTATTATTTATAAGCCACCCACACAATGGTCAGTATTTTTATTAAGCAGCCCCAGTGGACTAAGCCAGACATATTTTATATTCTCTTTTTTTTCCTAGTAAGTCTTCAAAATCTGGTATTTCATACTTAGAGCATCACTCAATTTGAACTAATCACATTTCAAGTGTTCAATAGTCATATGTGGTTAGTGGCTACATCATTTGATCTTGAAGGTCTAAAATTGTATCTAAATGGAATTAGAAAGCATGTAGTCTTTTTTGACTTGCTTCTTTCATTCACATAATTATGTTGAAATGTATCCCCGTCTTATAATGTATCAGGAGTTTGTTCTTTTTTATTGCTGAGAGTATTTAATTGTTTGGATGTGACACTATTTATCCTTTCCCCCTGCTGGTGGACATTTGTCCCCCCACCCCCACCCTCCACCATACCAAGGTTTTGGCTATTATAAATAAGTCTGCTATAAATATTTAAGTTCAAGTCTTTGTGTGGACATATATTTTCATTTCTCTTGAGAAAATACCTATGAGTGGAATGGCTGGGCCATACAGCGTACGTTAAGCTTTTATAAAACCGTCAAACTGTTTTCCACAGTGGCTGTACCATTTAACATTCCCATCAGCATTTAGGAGACTTCAATGAGTGGCATTGTTGGCTTTTTCAGTTTTGGCCATTCTACCAGATATGTAGTGATAGCTCATTGTGGCTTTTATTTTAATTTCCATAATGATCAGTTATGTTGAGCATCTTGTCATGTATTATTTCCCTTTCATAGATCTTTTTTGGCGATATGCCTACAAATCATTTGCCCACTTTTTGTTATGTAACTTGTCTTCTTATTGTTGTAAGAGCTATTTATCAATTCTAGACATCAGCCTTGTGAAATGTATGTTTTGCAAATATTTTCTCATAAGCCATGGCTTACTTTCCAGATTCTTGGCATTTTGAGAGCAAAAGTTCTAAATTTTGATTAATTTATTGATTTTTTTCTTTTTATACTTTGTGCTTTTTTAAAGAAATCTTTGCCAAACCCTGGGTCACTAAATTCTTCTATGTATTCTTTTAGAAATTTTTATAGTTTTGACTCCTACATTTAAGACAAGGATACAGTTTAGTTTTTTGTATATTTTATGAGATAAAGATTGAGGTCCTTCTTTTTTAATGACTATACCCCTCTTTGGTAATGACTATCCAATTGTTCTAGAATCATTTCCTGAAAGGATTATCTTTACCATTGAATTGTTTTGGCATATTTACTAAATATGTAAATTTAGTAAATTTTATTTACTAAAAATATATTCATCACATATATATAGAATTGTTTCTAGAGTCTCTATTGTATTAATCTATATGTCTATCTCTGTACCAGTATCACATTATCTTGATTACTGTAGATTAATAGTAAGTCTTGAAATCAGGTAGAAATTTCTTCCAACTTCTTTTCCAAATTGCTTTGGCTTCTCTAGTTTCTTTGCATTTCCATATACATTTTAGAATTAGCTTGCCAAGTTAAAAAAAAAAATAAAGCCTGTTGGGATTCTGATTGGGATTGCATTGATTCTATAAATCCATTTGGGGTGATAGCAATAAACATTTTATAGTTTGCTACATTACAATACATTGGCTCTTTCTCAGTGTGAATGGATTTAACCAGACATGACTTTGTAACATCATGTCTTGGCCCCTTGGAAAATATTGGTTCACTGAGTCATGCAGATCTTCCAAATGTTTACAGATTTTATTATACAATATATTTTAAAAACATATTCATTAATATCTCCACCAATCTCAGAAATGTCTCTAAGTACTGGGAAGCTGTCAAGTTCACAGTGGCAGATACATGCTTTCCAAAAATACTCATTTTTGCTGGAAAGCTCAAATTTTATCTTTGGCAACAAGTACTTACAGTTGTTTTCCTTGAAGTGACAGGCTCGCTTGGTTCCTTTTTCAAAAAATGTCTGCCAAATGCCCAAGTCTGAATCATCCTAGTTGTCTGTCAGTTGCTCCTTCAGACAAAAATGGTGTTGTATGAAAAAAGCCAAAAACAAACCCGGTGAGCTCAGCCTGCAACTCAAACACAGGTGCCTCTTGTGACAACCACTGTGGTTTCGCGTGCAGCCCACGTGCTTTATTTGTATTTCTCATGTCATCATGTAGAATATTAAAGAGTTGTGTATTCAGGGATTGAGATTTAATAAAGTGAGCTCATTTTTACTGCTTCATTAAGGACGTTGTTAAAGGCAACTGGTTTCTTTCTTTCTCTTTCTCTTTCTTTCTTTCTTTCTTTCTTTCTTTCTTTCTTTTACTGCTTCATTAAGGACGTTGTTAAAGGCAACTGGTTTCTTTCTTTCTCTTTCTTTTCTCTTTCTTTCTTCCTTTCTTTCTTTCTTTCTTTCTTTCTTTCTTTCTTTCTTTCTTTCTTTCTTTCTTTCTTTCTTTCACAAGCAGTGTGTGGAGAGTGACTCCCAGTGTAATTTGGTGCCACAGCTTTGATTTGTGTTATGATGCTGGCAGTTTTGCTCACCACTGCTTTTGCACTGTTATCACCAATGTCAACACAGTGGAAAAGCAAATAACATCCTAGTATTATTATGAAATTAATTTGTGGAGCCCCCCCCCCCCATAATAATTTAGGAAACCCCTTCTCCCCTAGGGTTCCATGGGCCACACTTTAAGAACCATTGCTTTCAGAACACAAAGGAGCATTTAATACAACCTGGAAGGATGCTGGAGGCTTTGTTGCAAGAGCGAAGCCTGAGTGGAGGCTCAGCGGACACGTATGTAAGAAAAGGTTGGCTGTCTGGATACAGGGAACAGCACAAGCAAAGGTACAAAGTGTGAATGGCAGGGCTCCCTTCCTCAGTTTCAGGCAAGCAAAAGGTGCAGTGAGGGCGAGGTCAGAGCTGAGGTAGCAAGAGATAGAGATGGCGCCGTGTGCATGGAAGGAGCTGAACCTTCATTCTTCGGGTGGTGGAGAGTTCTTGAAGGTTTTATACAGCGGGGAGGGGGGGGGTGCCAACATAATTAGAGTTGTCTGTTAGCTCCAGCACTCTGGAAACAATATGGTGAACGGATTTGGGAGAAAGGGAGCTCAATTAAGGACCTGTGCCTCATGAAGGTAAGAGATGATTTAATAGAACAGATGGTCAGCTAATTAAACACCAAGCCCCCTTCCCCTTATTAATTCAGAATATTGTAACTAGTCCATTTGCTCAGGGGACACAACTATACATCTCCTTGAATTCATGAGTGCAGACTTGGATAATAAAAAAGAAAAGCAGTCTTACAGATTAGACTCCGTGTTTCTATAACCTGTATCCTTCCAGACCCTCAAACGGAAATTCCTACCCTCTCAACTCAGTTTAATCATTTCCCTTAATAATTAGAGAACAGAGAGCAGAGAGCAGGGGTAGAAGTGGGTTTACAAGTTGTGTTTAATTGTTTCTTGCAAGAGCATAATTGGGATGACATTACAGAGGTCTGAGGTCACAGAAGTAAGTTTTTTTTTCTGCTTTAACTATGATGTGTATGTTTCTCTGTGCACTTGCATCCACAGATAGTATTTATTTGCATATTTTAACATTGCACTGTACTGCTATACTCTAATCCAAATCCCTCTTAGCCCTTGTCTGGACTCCAGTGACTCCTTGCAAGTATTATTTCTACTCTTAGCCCACTACAATCCATTTTATACACAGCATCCACAATGATCCTTGAGAAAGATCAATCAGATCACACCATTTGTCTGCTTATAATCCTCCAATGACTTCCTGTTCCCCATAGAAAAAAAAAAAAAAACAAAAACCTAAAATCTTTATGCTGTTGTCCATAGCCCTACCTAACTGATTCCTGCCTGTCTCTCTGACAATTTCTACCACTCCTTGTCTTGCCCACTGAAGGCTCATCACCCTGGCTTTGGTGTGTTTCCATCTCGGGGCCTTTCTGCTAGCTGTTCTCGGCCAGGTTTGCTACAGTCTTAGAATTCCCCATGTCCTTCGGGTCCTAACACACTATGGAAAGTTCCTTTCCTGATCGCCCGACCTAGAGTAGCCTATCACTCCTTACCACTTCACCGTTTTACTTTCATCGTGGCAGCACCTGGAACATTGCCTGGTACACATAGATTCTCAATAAGTATCTGTGGAATGAATGGACTCATGAATGATAGGTGAAATGTTCTTGTTGTATTTGCTTCTCATCATGCTCACAAAGTTGTCATGCAAATGATCCCATATTGGTAATTAGTTTAGAGCATAATTACGTAACTATGCCCGCTTTTGTTTTGTTTTGTGGCTTTACTTTAGTCAGGGTTTTATTCCTTCTAAAAGCATAT